GCACCACGAAACCATGGGGCTGTACCTTTATTACGCTTCGGCATGTACATCGAGTACATGATATTCTTTGTATTATTCGACTGATCACTATTTCCCAAATCATCATGAGAAAGAAGCGGCCAAGCATGCTGGTACTGATTATTCGCGTGGAAACTATCCACTTTCCGCCATCCCAAACCCACTTGTGTACAGGCATTCCCATACGCCGAAGTTGTTGATATCCACTACCCGCCCGCATCATTTTAAGCGTGGGATCACGGAACACAAAAGCACGAGCTTTGCCGCTACGGTGCTGTTCTGGGCGTGTACAGCGAAACATTCTAAAAAGAAAAGGATTACACACGAAGAAAAGGAAATTCCACCCGCGATACCTACCACCTATAAAAAAAAAAAGGAACAAAAAAAAATTCTTCAAATTAAAAAATCAATATATATCAATAATAATAATTGCGACACACATATTCATGTGTACCAGTAAAACAATTGTACCGTCAGTAAGCAGAACAAAAGATTCTGCAAACAAACAACGGAAACAAAAAAGTAATGGAATTATAAAACAGAACACCCAATCCCAAAGATTCCAGTTAATAACAAAAAAAAAGTTGAACACACATACGCATGTCTATATTTAGAATAAATGTATACCGTCAGTGTGCAGAACAGCCCAGTTTTCTGCACACACACACAACGGGAAAAGCAAGTAATGGAATTATTAGAAAAAAGAACACACACATAAAAGTAAAAGAAAAGAAATTCCAATTAAAAGAGAAAGATGGTAAACAGATTATTTATTTATTCAACCCTTGGGGGATGTACGCAATTATGATTATGTTAGTTTAACCATTATTATTATTATTTGTCCTCAGATGAGTCCCACTGTTCAGTACACGGTAGCGGAGAACAACGCAGCCACAATTAGTAGCGGTGCTGCAGTGCGCATATACAGAGGACTGATACTGCTGTCAACATTAGCCTTGTTCTTCTGTACAGCGGAGGCAATGCTGCTGATCTCTGTACCAGTTACGGGAGATGATGGAGTGGTGGTTGGTGCTTCTGTGGTAGTGTTCTCAGGGCTCGGCGGAGTAGTGGAATTGGTTTCTTCTGAGGCTGATGGGGCAGCTGTATGAGGTTGCTGGGTAAGATTAGATTCGGCAGGTGTACTGTTATCAGTTGTGTTGCCCGATGCTCCTTGATCGCTTTGTGATGCTGCAGTAGACTCTTGATTTTTGCCTTGTGTTGAAGTTGCACCAACTCTTGTTTCTGTTTCTTGGGTGGGTCCTGTAGCCCCAGCGGGTCTGGCAGGAGGTTCCTGCACCTGTTCAAGATCATTCACCGGAGACAAAACGGAGTGACTATCTTCACCCGAAATTGATGAAGGTTTAGTATCCAGAGATTTTAACCACTCCGAACAGTTTTTTCCAGCAATAACAGCAGATTCATTCTTCTGACACTCCACTCGCACCATCTGTTCTTGTAGAGTTACATTCCAATGCCAATCAGTGCTCCAATTATACCCTTTAGGTAAGTTAGCCTTTTCCTCAAAAACGAACACGTCATCTTCCTTTTTCTCCTGGTCCGAAGCCATCACCGCCTTTGTTTGTCCATTAGTAGCAGTAGCAGCAGCCGCCATGGTATACCCGCAGGCGCAGCACAGCACAACGGCCAACACACACATCACACGGTTCATCATCATCATCATGAGAAAGAGACAATAGTTTGGTTCACGTAAAAACACTGATCTAGAAAGAAACACAATCAAAAAGTAAAGAAAGAAAATAAATGAAGTATCAAACATGTTAGGACACACAAACATCAATTACCACTATAGAAACTCGCATCAGGAAAAGAAGAACCTAGCAGTTAAAGAATGCAATACAGCGCAAATAACCTCAGTAAGAGTAAAAACAAAAACAAAACGCCCACACTCACAAATATCTCAATAAAGGGATGAACCACCCAGCACAATCATCAAGCAAACAAACAGATATTAACCATTAGCCCAATTTACACAATAAACAGAGAAATATACACCAATTATGGGTGTAAGTCTGTATGTGTATATACGCAATTATAAGTATAAATTCATCTGTTATTATTATTATTTACGTTTTTTCTCCCTCTGCAAAAAACAGTTCATCATCATCATCATCACAGTGCAAGCCCAGGTGCACACACAGAGAGAGAGTCTCCAAGAACACACACACACACACACAATGGAGTAGCAATAATAATTATTATAGGATAAACATAGAGAGAGCAAAAAAACACACATTAACATTAAGAAACAAAAAAGAAGAAGAATAGCCCAACATGTGGAAGATTAGTTAGACTGTAGTGTGGATGTATGCAAAGAAAAAGAAAAGGAAACAAAGGATGACCTGAGTCACACCACCACACCACCACTACAATCAGCACAGAAGAATACAGGCCAGTGTAACCACAATCAGTAGTGGTACACGCACCCACACAGAACTGCTGATACTGCTGCTGCTGTCTGCATCACTCTTTTTGTTGTTTGTGAGTTCAGGAGGAAGTGTTGTTGTTGTGGTGGTGGTTGTAGTGGTGGTAGTGGTTGAAGTTGATTCCTCATTATTGGGTGTATTGTCAGAGTTCGTGGGTTCCGCGTTATTAGACTCACGTTTGTTGGTGTCTGGTTGAGATTCTTGTGAAACGGGTGTCTGTTCCTGCGGAGTTTCCTTCTCTTTGGCATCAGCATCACTTTTACTGGTCTCAGCAGAAGAATTGATATGTGATTCATTTGGAGTTCCGTGCCTCTTTCCTTCTTCTTGCTCACTGTCAGGAGTATGCGTTTGCTCTCGATCTGCACGGTTGTTATTTTCCTGATCCTGTGGAACATGAGCACCGTCACTTCCACGCGAGCCATGAAGTGATGCAGCATCACCGTCACCACTCGATCCTGGTTGGGAGCCGGGAGTGGGAGTTGGCAGCGAAGGAGAAGCAGGAGCACGTGAACTGATACCTGTAGAACTTTCTGTCAATGAAGTGGTAGGAATTTCTTCTTTATGTGCACCCGTGCCAGAAGCAGTTACCTCAACTTGTGGTCCCTCACTCAATTCTCTTCCCTGAGCAGGACCATCTGGAACCACAGCACAGTTTGAACTACTAGCAGCGACACCATGTTCTTGAGGACTTTTTTCACATTTCGCACCAGCAGGATCAGAAGGACCAGTTTCACCACGAAGAGTTTCAACAGCAATAGACGATCCTTCTTCAACCCTTTGACCACCACCGGGTTCAGAAGTCTGGCCAGCCGCCAAACAAAAAGATGTAACAATCATAAACAAAACCACAAAACAAAACACATGGCGCAGCGTCATCATCGGATTCCAAACGATTTGGTTCGCCTAAAAACACTGAACTGGTGTAAAAAACAACTTAAAAGAAGAAAAAATGAAATATAGAATCAAACACTTTGGGACGCTCAAATAGACTACCACAAAGAAACCCAACAACTTAATGTATGCAATACAGCACAATAACCTCAGTAAGAGTACAAACAAAAAAAAGCCCACACTAACAAATGTATCAAAAGAGGCTCAACCACCCAGGAAAATCATCAAGCAAACAAAAAGATATTGACCATTAACCACATTTACACAGTAAACATAGAAATATACACCAACTATGGGTGTAAGTCTATATATGTGTATGTATATACGCAATTATAAATATGAATTCATTTCTTATTATTATTTCGTTCTCTCACTGCAAAAAACAGTTCATCATTATCATCATCACAGTGCAAGCCCAGGTGCACACACAGAGAAAGAGTCTCCAAGAACACACACACACAATGGAGTAGCAATAATTATTATTATAGGATAAACACAGAGAGTAAAAACACACACAAAACACAATAACATTAAGAAACAAAAAAGAAGAATATCCCAACATATGGAAAATTAGTTAGACTGTAGGGATGCATGCAAAAAAAGAAAAAGAAAACAAAGGATGACCTGAGTCACACCACACCATCACAATCAGCACACAAGAATACAGGTCAGTGTAAACACAATCAGTAGTGGTACACGCACCCACACAGAACTGCTGATACTGCTGCTGCTGTCTGCATCACCCTTCTTGTTGTTTGTGAGTTCAGGAGGAAGTGTTGTTGTTGTTGTAGTGGTGGTGGTTGATTCCTCACTGGGTGTTGTGTTTGCATTTCCCACATCAGAACCACCAGTAGCACTCTCCGTCTCTGTTCTGTTAGTAGAAGGCTGTTCTGCTGCACTCACCTCATTTGGTGGAGTTTCACCTGCCGCCTTGTCGCTGTTTTCAGTTTGACCTTCAGTCGCAGTCGGACCACCAGACGGAGATGGAACATCACTGCCTCCAGGTTTAACAGATTCGGCAGGTGCTGGAATATCAACATCACCAGTAGGACCAGCAGGAGCACCAGCTCTATCATGAACGTGAGATTCAGGTTCCTTTTCTTCAGGGTTTTTGGGAGGAGCAAGCTGTTTTTCTTTCCCAGGATCACCCTCTTTTGGTTCTTTAGTTGCGTTAGCAAGAGGATCTTTGGTGTCTCCGGCACATTTACCATCTTTAGGATTATCAGTAGTGCAAACACCAGCACCATCAGATTCTTGATTTAATTCTTTCGAGGGTTTTCGTTTGCAATTCGTTTCATTTTTTCCACCCTCATCACCTGGGTGACACTCTGGTCCTGTATGACCTCCTTTCACACATTTAGAAGCATCAGCACCAGAAGTGCACTCACGATCACCATCATCATGTAGATCATCAGCAGCACCTTCATGACAAGTATCACTAGTATCACCACTTTCCTCACCAGAACATGCAGCACCTTTAGCAGCAGGTTGAGGAGGAGATGAAGTACTTAGAGAAACTGGTTTTGTTGCTTCTTGTGGACAAGGAACAGGATTGCAATCCGGAGTAGCAGGTTCAAGTCCAGGTTCCGAGTTAGCTTCCACGCATACAGATGCAACACTCAGCAGAAAAACCAGCAAACAGACAACGGGTCGCATCATCATGGCAATAGTAATTCTTGGTTGTTTTACGTCACTTTGTTAAAGAAAAAGAGAGAACAGAGAGAAAAAAGTAAAAAAAAAGATCCCATACAATAGAAACAAAAAAACAAATGGTGGTAAAACAGATCACACAAGAAAAACAACAGTAAACAGAACACAGCACTTCCAGTATAAACAATAAAGAATCCAATAGAGAGTAACTACAAAAACTCCAGAGCAAAACAACAAGTAATGAAAAAGAAATTAAAAGCACCACGAAATGCCCAGTAAATATAATACAAAACACAAGACTGGTACTGCTGGTGCTAATGTGCAATAATAAAAATATATGTAACAATTTCTATTCTTTCTTTTCTCCCTTCAACATAGATCATCACAAAGGTTCAGGGCAAAACACACAACGCCCCAGCGAAACACAAGAAAAGAAAAAGATATTGACCATTAGCCCAACTTGCCCAGTAAACACAATAAATACAACAACTATGGGTATAATTCTATACCTGTGTATATACGCAATTATAAATATAAATTCATCTGTTATTATTATTTCCTTTTCCCTATCACTGCAAAAAAAAAAAAAACAGTTCATCATCATCATCACAGTGCAAGCCCAGGTGCACACACACAATGGAGTAGTAGCAATAATAATAATTATAGAATAAAAACATAGAGAGTAAAAACACACAAAACACATTAACATTAAGAAACAAAAAAAAAAGAAAAGATAACTCCCAACAGGTGGAAGATTAGTTAGACTGTAGGGATGCATGCAAAAGAAAAAAAAGAAAACAAAGGATTACCTCAGTAAAACCACCACCACCATTACAATCAGCACACAAGAATACAGGCCAGTGTAACCACAATCAGTAGTGGCACATGCACCCACACAGAACTGCTGATACTGCTGCTGCTGTCTGCATCACCCTTCACATTTGGCATTATGGTGTTATTGCTGATTACAGGGATAGTAGGAATTATATTGGTGGTAGGTGAAGTTGAGTCCTCGTTACTGGTGATATTGAGGGTGACAGAGGTCGTGTTCGCTGTGGTGTTGCCTTCTGCTGATGCACCCACAGTATTCACACCATTTGTTGATTCATTCTCTGTAGTTGTCACATTATCAGTGGTACTGTTGGGCTCTGTGCTCGTGGTATTTAATGTGTTTGAATCATCAGTAGATAGACCAGATTGAGTTATTTCACTAGGTGATGCATCTGTAGTAGGATGTGAGTTTGAGTCAGCAGTAACATGGGAGTCTGTACTTGGTTTACCTGCGACATTTGATTCTGTATTGTGGTTATCTTGTTGAGGACCTTGTGTGGTTTCCTTTATCAGTTCTTGGTTCCCATCAGAACGTATCACACCTGACTCACTGGATACTGGCTGCTTCTGTGTATTCTCTGTTTTCTGTGTCACCTCACTAGACTGCTTGATACTTACATCTTGTACAGTACGAGAATGAGATACAGCAGGTTCTGGTTGACTTTCATTCCCGCGACCTTGACCTTTTGATCTGTCACCCGACTCTCCTTCCAACTCCTTCTCACCATGCGCAAGACCACTATCAAGTTTAGTATTATCCGTGGATTCGTCAGGATGTTTCGCAAGCTTATTAACTTCAGAAGACACATCATGTTGGCCAACACCATGACCACCCTGGGCCTTTATACCACCTTGACGACTAGATGGAAGATCATCACGTGTAGTTGAAAGAGATGTACCAGAAGAACCCGCAGCACCAAATTGTGCCGGTGCAAGAGGTTTAGCAGTAGTAGAAAGAGGAGGTTTAATGGGAAATGTAGGTGAAGGTACAACATGGTGAGAACCAGGAATACCAGCAGAACAAGTATTCGTACCTGCAGCACTGCCAGGGATAGCACCAGGCACACCAGGAGTACCACAAGGACCGTGTGGGACTGCAGGGTCCGTATAAGGCTTTTGTTGAACACCCTTAGGAACACCAACAGGAGGATTAACAGGAAGTCTGCCAGGAACAGCAGGTCCAGGAATACCAGCAGGTTGGAACTCTACATTATTAGGATGAACACCACCACCAGGGATACCAACAACACCACCAGTCATAAAAGAATACGGGTTTGGTACATTAGCCAACACGCATCCACAGAAGCAGTACAGGATGAAAGGCAGTAAGCACTGCACGTGGCCCATCATCTTCTTCATAGCCATAATAGTGGTTGTTGGGTTTCCCTTAAAAACACTCTACTACAAAAACAAAAAATATAAGAGATTAACAAAATGCTCGTAAAACCTAAAAAGAGAAGGGTGTACAAGTAGTGAAGCACAAAAGAAGCTCAACAGCGTAGAAACCAAAATCAAAATCAGAAACAAAGCAATACAGTTAATTAAATCAGTAAAGTTAGAAAAAAAAAAGGACATCCATATCATCACAGACTCCCGCAGTAGAGCATAGAATGTCCCAACAAACCATAAGCAAACAAAGAAGATCCTCACCATT